GCTATAAGAAGCTTGGTTAGTGTTTTTGGAGTCAAATATGACTAGATCTCGTGTTTATGATTGGGTATAAGAACTAGAACCGCAAGCGAAGCCCAAAAGATAAAGTAGTGTTTTTCCGTTTAGAAGCTCCAAAACCGAAAACTCATAAGACTTCGGCCACACCCACAAAGATTTTAGAAGTAATAAGAAGCTTGGTTAGTGTTTTTGGAGTCAAATATGACTAGATCTCGTGTTTATGATTGGGTATAAGAACTAGAACCGCAACCGCATCCCAAAAGTTAAAGTTGTGTTTTTCCATTTAGAAGCTCCAACACAGAAAACTCATACGACTTCGGCCACACCCACAAAGATTTGAGAAGCTATAAGAAGCTTTGTTAGTATTTTTGGAGTCAAATATGACTAGATCTCATGTTTATGATTAGGTTTAAGAACTAGAGCCGCAACCGGCTCCCAAACGTTAAAGTAGTGTTTTTCCATTTAGAACCTCCAAAATCGAAAACTCATAGGACTTCGGCCGCACCCTCAAAGATTTGAGAAGCAATAAGAAGCTTGTTTAGTGTTTTTGGAGTCAAATATGACTAGATCTCGTGTTTATGATTGGGTATAAGAACTAGAACCGCAAGCGAAGCCCAAAAGATAAAGTAGTGTTTTTCCGTTTACAAGCTCCAAAACTGAAAACTCATAGGACTTCGGCCGCACCCACAAAGATTTGAGATGCAATAAGAAGCTTGGTTAGTGTTTATAGAGTCAAACTTGACTAGATCTCGTGTTTATTATTGGGTATAAGAACAAGAACCACAACCGGATCCGGTAAACTAAAGTAGTGTTTTCCGTTTAGAAGCTCCAAAACAAAAATTCATAGGACTTCTGCCACACCTACAAAGATTTAAGAAGCAATAAGAAGCTTGGTTAGTGTTTTTGGAGGCAAATATGACTAGATCTCATGTTTATGATTGGGTATAAAAACTAGAACCGCAACCGGATCCGAAAAGTTAAAGTAGTGTTTTTCCGTTTAGAAGCTCCAAAACCAAAAACTCATAGGACTTCGGCCGCAACCACAAAGATTTGAGAAGCAATAAGGAGCTTGGTTAGTGTTTTTGGAGTCAAATATGACTAGATCTCGTGTTTATGATTGGGTATAAGAACTAGAACCGCAACCGGATCCCAGAAGCTAAAGTAGTGTTTTTCCAATTAGAAGCTCCAACACAGAAAACTCATACGACTTCGGCCACACCCACAAAGATTTGAGAAGCTATAAGAAGCTTTGTTAGTATTTTTGGAGTCCAATATGACTAGATCTCATGTGTATGAATTAGGTTTAAGAACTAGAGCCGCAACCGGATCCCAAACGTTAAAGTAGTGTTTTTCCGTTTAGAAGCTCCAAAATCGAAAACTCATAGGACTTCGGGCGCACCCTCAAAGATTTGTGAAGCAATAAGAAGCTTGGTTAGTGTATTTGGAGTCAAATATGACTAGATCTCGTGTT